TCTAGCCAGGGTCAACCCACCACACAAAGTTATACAATAATCTAAAGTAAAAAGGCAGTGAAAACAATCGTAGCAGTGACCTATACTTCAAGAATAGAGAACAAATAAATAAGGTTGTAATCCTGCCCTACCTTCTGCAGCTATACTAAACCAGATTTCTGTCTTCAGCATCCAGAACTTCCTATCCCTTTATGTCTTATTACCAAAAAGATTTTTTTTTCTTAATTCTGACAAGTCATCCACTGCAAAATAATCAGAACTCCTTTATTTTTTTTTTTTTAGTCAATGTATACTCAGTACTACAGGTATACAAACCTCACTGTACGAAGAGTGGAAAGAGAAACAAGCTCTGTATGTGCTCTCCCCAGTCCTAAAAAAAGAGGAGGCACAAAAATTAGGTAACTGCTCTTCATCCTCAGTCAACAGGTAAGCATAACCTACTCTTAAATAAAAGTCCATTTTGAGATTTAGTTAGACAAGTGTCAGGCAAGACACACACCTGAAACAACAGGTTTCTGCATGGCCCAAATGCTCACCTCACTATTACATTAGTTTTCTTGATCCTTTCTCCAAACCACATAGTGGAGGGTTTGATGCTGATTATATGCAAGGGAATTCCATTTTGGCAAGTCATCCCACAGGGCAGTCTGTTCCCTCGAAAGCATTCATCATCCTGTCAAACGCAACAGAAAATGAAGTGTAATCCTGACCTCTCTTCCACCAGAAACTGAGCAACACGGTATCTACCCAGAGCAAATGTTCATCTCACTTCCACCTCCTTTAAACACTCTTTGCTGTTGCACCTTGCTTCTGCAGTGCAGCTGACAAAGCAAATCAATCACAGAGACCAATGCTCCGACATGCCATCTCCAGTTCTACCTGCAATCCTCCAAACTGGAGCCTTCAGCCTGACAGACATCCTGGAAAGGGAAGGCCATACACTACAAGCACACAGCACGAGGCTGCAGCAGGCATCATACAAGCTCCTTTCGATATATTTAGATGGTTAATACTTGACTGATCTCATCTGCTGCTTGTCTGACTTCATTTGAAAATACAATTTGCAAGTTTTAAATACAATTAAACTATTTCTAGTATCAGATAATATATTTTTCCCTTTTTCTCTTTTTTTCTAAAAAAACAAACCAAACCAAAACAGCAACAACAAAACTTCAACCCACTAACTAAAGTTCCCATCCTCCTTTACATTAAGCCACCATTTGGTCCAAGTCTCCATTAGCCCAACAGGACCAAAACATTAGCACCTATAACGAGTCTTTCACAGCAAAGTTAGCAGAGGTTTTGCAAAATGATACACACCCGAGGATGGCGACAGGCGTGAATCTGAGTGCATCGATCTGTAGTCACATGGTAGAGGATTTCTGGCATGTTTCTGAACATATCAAGTTTGTTCACGTGCACCTAGAGAAAGGGAGAGTTTACTCTTCATTAGCTCCATGTGATTGCCAGACTGCAGCTGGAGCAACTGTACAGATGTGGTTCTGCTCTCAACAAATGCAGCATTTAAACAATTACTACCTACTAATAATCTCCAAGCAAAGAAGCCTTAGCCAAAAGTAACATGGAAGTCTAGAACAAGCAGAACATACTTCCTATGCTGAAGAGGGATGAAGAATCATTAAAGAAAGTCAGAATAGATCTGCTAACTATTAATGTCATATGTAAATTTAGAGAAGGTTTTTATCTTCATGAGATAAAAGGCAGAGAGGTAAACACTGAGCTTGAAAACTGAGGATTAACTTCTCCCTGGAGAGCCCAGATGTTCCAGACTGAAAGCCACTAGTTAACTCATTTTGAGCATAACTGTAGCTTTTTAAGTGCAGTTAATGAAAGCATGCACATCTTTCACACACAGCAGTCCTCTGAACAGCCATTTCCAGCTCGGTGACTGGCCACAATCATTCCTGAGGATCTTTTCTAAAGCAACAATTACAGAAACATTACCTTGATTCCAAGTTCCTCACTGAGGTTTATGAATAAATATTCATATCCATAAGCAGCTTTGCAATTCAGCCACACGACATGATAGCGAGTCAGTGAGGTCCAGCTTCGCACTAACTCTAAGATCCCATTTAAACATTCCTCCTGAAAAGTTTAGAAAATGTCATGAGTCATCTTTGAAGATACTTTCAGTGTTTTGATTTGGTAAAGCAAAATGGCATTGCCTTGCAAGACTTAACTATCAGTGGGGTAGTTAACTAATTAGAGGCTTTAGGGCCTTTCCTCTCACAGCTTATTTAGACTTACCCGGCTTGGTATATGATAAAATCTGGGATCACAGAAAGTAGTGTCCAAATACACACTCTGGATGTCTTTAACTCTGAAAGAGAAATGCAACTCCAGAGTGAGCAGTGCATCATGGTACTAAGACATACCACTTCCTCTCTCTTCAAAAGGAGGCAATTCTTCCTCTTTATCACAAAGCAAGTCAAAAGGGGCTTGCAACTGCAGTGTTGCCTGACTGCAAATATATTTAACTCAGAATAAAAAAATGAGGGGGGGGAAAAATACATTATTCCTGAATTGTCCATGCCTGTGTGATCTTTTATTCTTTCTAAATGCCATGAATAGTTGAAGCCTCACCTGGTCCCTGAATGCAAAAGCTCCATTCTGGCTGCTTCTCCTTTTGCAAGCCTGAAATCCCCTGTATACAGCACAATGCCATTTTCACCTTCAAACAGAAACCTACAAACAGAAACACTTTGGTCAAATTCAACAATGTAAAGCATTAAACACCAGGTGTCGATTTGCTACCTTGCTTAGAGCAGTCTACGTCACTAATGTCAGATGTAATAGAAATACTGGGCTCAATCTGGTCCTAGAGTAACGTCAGATAAACCCAATAATTCAGACTCAGTATGTCTGGAAAACAAGCTGTGCCTAGGCTGGTCAGAGCTGAAGACAAAAGTCTCACAGACTCTCTGAGGGTAGCCCAGCTGTTGGTGGCAGACAGGGGAATCTATTAGGCATCTGTAACAGGAAGCTGAGCACCTTCTTTTTAATGTTGTACTTAAGAAATGGAGGATTTCATTTTAATTGTTTGTATGTCATTTTTAAATACAGTTGAAATCAAGAAAGTTGTTATTCATAGAGTATTCACTATTCATAGAAAAGTAACCTGCCCCACGAAGGTAACAGCTTCTCTCTGGACAGATCCCATATAGCTACAGTGATTTTCCAACCTTGACCAAAGCTGGTGGGCTCTCCCACAACAGTATTTATCTCCAAGTAAGAATTTTAAATTCACTAGATTTTTCTAGTCAGGAAAAAAACACTACTTAGTGAGAACTCACAGAACTGCCTAGATTGGAAAAAACCTTTAAGATCATCAAGTCCAATCATTAACCCAACGCTGACAAGTCCTTGACTAACCCATGTCCCTCAGCACTATGTCTACATGATTCTTCAATCCCTCCAGGGATGGGGACTCCACCACTGCCCTGGGCAACCCCTTCCAATGCCTCAGAACCCTTTCAGGAAATAAATTCTTCCTCAGATCCAATCTCAACTGCCCTTGGTGCAACTTGAGGCCATTTCCTCTTGTCCTGTCACTTGTTACTTGGTTGAACAAATTTCTCAGCAGAGACATTTAGCACATTGAAGGGACGTACATGACTGATCCTGGACAGTGACCAGCTGGCAGAAGTGTCACCTCTATATCTTCTTTCTGGAAGAGATGGTTAGCATTATTTTCACACTGTAGTAAGCGCTGCCAGTACTTTCACTGACACAGCAAAAGCAACACATTATTCTCCACAGCTTCTTGCAGCATTTAGCATTGCTTATGAACAAAGAGAAAGCTTCTTCCCATTCCAGCGAGCCCTGAAGAGCAATGACCATCCTATCAGGCCAGAAGAGATGACTGTATATTGTAGAGTGCTCATGAAAGCCACCCAGATAGAAGACATTCCTACTTTCTTAGTTCTTTGTGAACAAGCATCATGGAAGTATCTTGGAATACACTTTGCCTGGAGATGCTCTACCAGACCTGCACTTAAAGCTTGTTAAAATAAGCCAGGAAATACCAACTGAAATAAATCACAAGAGCTTTAGGTAAGTTGGAGATCACTAATAGCCTGGAAAGACATCACCCCAAAAAAATGCTATGGTAATAAGAATAAAGCAAGGAAGAAGAATTCATGTGGTGCAGGTCTTGGAGAGAAGGGGAACGTACATTTTAAAAATAACCTGTCCACTTGGGATGTTACAGGGAAGATCTGATTCCCATACTCATTTAAACATTATTACTGCCCATTACAAATATATGAATCATTTTTTTTTTGTTAACTTACCTCACCAGATGTTTCATCTACTAAAGAAATCTGAGTTGGAGTTTCAACTTCCAGTGCAACCTGTAATGAAATGAATAAATGCACTGCAGGATTTGCTCAACATTTTGTTTCGTGCTTATGGCTAAGTAAAGTCAGCTTGTAAAATTAAGCTCATTTTCCCATAGTAAGCCATGAATTCCACGAATTTCCATTTCCAGTGTTTTCTAAAAGTTACCTAGAAATTAAATGGGAGATACCTCAATCAAGATGTGCATGCCTGAAAAAAGTTAGAACACACTGGACTTCTAAAAGCAACAGCTCTCAATACTAATTTTATCATCTACAATTTCTGAAGCTGAATAAACTCAAGAGGTTGATCTAAATTCCACATGCTTGATATTTCTCAGTGATTCTCAAATTTCATAGAATCATAGAATAGATAGGGTTGGAAGGGACCTTAAAGATCATTTCCTACTGCAGTGAAACAATTGTCAAGTTTTAGGTCTAAATGGCCTGAAGAATTCTTCACTGACAGACACAGTTTAGCTTTATAATCATAAATTATAATATCTCCAGTGCAGTTCTCCCCTCATCTTTGATAGTTCAAATGTTAAAGCCAGCAGCAGATTCAAAGAGCTTCTTATGCCGCGCGTACAAATAAAGGTCAGACTGGAACTCATGAAAACACTTGTCTGGAAGCTGACATCGTGATTGCTTCTTTCATTATGGTGAATATCAAATTAGCTGTTAATTCATTTCCCAGTCATGCTACAAGTAGAAAGCTTATTTATTGTAAGACAAAGCTTGTGAACAAGACAGCCAACAGCTACTATCTGATTTAGGGCCTGTGCAGCTCATACCATTTACCAGCAGACACTCCTGGGAGCAGCAGCTGCAAATATCTATGTATTTTTTTAATTGTATTGATTTGTGTTAACTGTGCTTCATCTCAGACTGTACCACAGGTACCTCTGGAATCTCTTCCCAGATTAAAGTTTTCTCCAACAGGGATGTCAGGACCAGCACTACCTACTTGCATTTTACTGCTCATACAAACTCCTAATAGCTTACAGATATCTCTCCTCAAGGGAATTCAGTTCTTCTAGATTAAACTCAAGGGACAGTGGAAGCAAATGGACACAAGCTTAAAACAAACCAAAAAAACCCCAAAAAACCCAGCACCAACAAAAAACCCACTACAAACCCACCCCATTTTATTTTTTCTAGTCCAAGAAGATTATAGGAAAACTGTCACCTATGCACACTGTGCTCCTTCACACATCAAACATGCCTAAGGGATGTTCAGAGTCATTTTTACAAAGACCTGAATCATCTTCACGCTTCAAATCATTAAATGGTCCTGTTTCTTGAGGCTTCATATAAAGCTACTTATCTTCTCAGCTTCACAATTAAACTAGGACCTTGAACAGAAAAATCCCCTACTTCTCTTTTTTCTCTTACCCAGGCTTACCTCCTAGTCCCACCCATATGAATTTCTTTGGATATGGAGCTTAAGACCCACACTTGCAACCTATTTAAGGAAACTCTGAGCCATAACTCCCCCACAGAAACAAATTTCAGCTTGCCTGAAGTCCTTCTTGACCTTCCACTTGACTAGAAAACTCTCCTGTCCTTGCTTGTGGGATACAGCAAAATCCTTACACTATGTGATAATGTATGTGCATACAGTGAGATGTGAAAAGAAACGTGTTCAACTTCAAAGCTGCATCTGCAGAGGGGAGGAAAGAAGTAACTACAAGTCATACCCATACATGACCACTGGTCACTTGAATTTTGGCTTCAAATAGTGGAAATCAAGTAAACTAATTAAGTTCCTTGGTTATTTTATATCACTAAGATATTTTGGTGTTAGAGAGAGTCCATTTTCCAAAAAGGAAAAGGAAAGTAATTTAACTAAACGACGATACATACTCCAAACAATATGAGACTTTAAATGAAGCAAGAAGGAAATAAAATAAAGACAGAGGCAAAGAGACATGAGCAAGGTAAGGAAATGAAGTAGGATACAAATGATCAATGTACAGATGAAGAACATTTAAAACTGAAGTTGAGAGAAAAGGATAAATTTTGTGGAGGAAAAAAACAAGATTAAACAGTAAACAACAATAAACCAATCCCACATAGCAAGCAACAAGGAAAGGCACACTGATGTAGGTACTTAAGCCCTGAAACACTGTACCAACACCAACTTTTAGACATTTCTGAGGAGGTGAAGCTTCTTCTTCCTTAGAATCACTGTTTGGAAAGTGATAATTTAAAAATAAACAAAAACTCACAATGTGATTCTCCCAAAATTTGTATTTCCAGTTAGTCAACAGCAATTCCTTAGTTACCGGTGAGCAGTATAATTTAAGTTTCAAGCTGTGAGGAAACAAAAGTCACAGATGAGTGTTTTTTAAAGTAGAGGCAGAGAACAGTCTAACGACACATCAGTACCTGGCACCCAGCACATCAAAACGTGCACTCAGATCCCTCTCTCATCTGAGGAGACCGGCAGAGCAGTAAGCCTGCAGGAACCGTTTTGTCCTAACCTGAAGCAGGATTAAGGTGAATTATTCCATCTTGTTGAGAAGGATTTTCTTCAACACAGCAAACCCAAAGACTTACCCATGTGTGCCCGTGCACATGCATTTTGTGCAGAAACAAATCTAAAGCGTGTGGTACATGGTCACACGTGCACATGTCTCTGCTCGTTCCTACACCCACCACCAAGGTCTGTTTCAGATGTGCTTGCCCTCCCTGGAACAGGCACTTGGGACAGTTACCATTCAGCAGAACACAGAATATAAGCTTCCTATAAAGCTCTGCCTTTTGCACAGTGCACAAAGAGACCTGACAAGCAAACAGAGATTCTCTGCTTGTGTTTGAGGAGATGCAACATCTACTCTCATATATTAAGTAGTGGCTAGGAACTGGCCCACAACCACTCTGGGCCCATTCCCATGTCCAACCATCCTCATAGTGAAAAAGAACAGGTGTCCCTTGCCCTTTTGTTACACACCTCCAACAAGAGTCTGGCTCCATCTTCTCTACCCCTACCTGCAAACAGTGACACACAGTCATCTCCTACTCTTAAGGTTGAAGACATCCAGCTTGCAGGCTCTCCTCACATATCACGTGCTCCAGCCCCAGACCAGCTTGGTGGTCCTGCTCCAAAACACTGATGATGTTTTTTGTCCAGGGAAGCCCAGGAACGGACTTAGTACTCCAGACAAAGCCTCACAAGTACTGACCAGAGGGGAATAACTGTCTCCCTCAGACTGCTGGCTACCTGCTTGCTCATACACCTCTCAGTACAGCCAGTTTCCTTCCCAGCACAGGCACAGCGCTGTCTCCAAGCATCGACATGTTCCCCAGGAATAACAGCAGCAGATCCTCATGATGTTCATAAGCCTCATGAAGTTCAAGAAGGCCAAGTGCACTTGGGTTGGGGCAATCCCCAGTACCAATACAGGCTGGTAGATGAAGGCACTGAGAGCAGCCATGCCAAGGACTTGGGGATACCAGTGGATGAAAGGCTGGACGTGAGTCAGCAAAGTGCACTTGCAGCCCAGAAGCCAACTGTATCCTGG